CTCCTCCACAGCGTTCTCTCAGAGAGCCTCACGTCATTGAGTCTGTCATAACCAGAAAATTGTAATGAATACTCTACAGGGCACGTTCGCGGCTTCCTGGCCAGTGACTTTGGAGTGTGCTTCGTCACTGGAGATGAAGCAGTTGAGGTTTCCGGAATGGAAAGGGAGATGCTTTTGCCCCTGCTGGAGATCCTCATCGGCCTCAATTTATCCCCCCATGAATTCTTGTCACATAAAATTACCCTCCAGTTGGAGAGGCCGGGAATTGAGACGTGTGGGGAAATTCAGAACGTGACTGTGAGACATTGACACCTGGAAAGTTCCGGGAAAGCACAGATAGGCAGATCAATCCTTGGTGGGGTGGGGTGAGGTAGGGACCAGCTGTTTCACAGAAGTCTGTGGCAACGCGCCCCAGATGCCTCTGCTTTTTAATGGACCCCCAGGGCCCACTCACCCTGCTTGTCAAACAGTATCACCAACCACCACTCAGCCGCGTGTGAGGAGGGCAGAGCTGTGCTGCCCCCGGCATGCCTCCAGGTTCTCTTATCAAGCGTGATGCCTGGAAGTTGGCCTTTTAAGTGCCTTTTTAAAAAAAAAATTTTATTAGTGAAACACCATGAGTTACAGTTATAGACTCACAAATTTTTGTGTTTGGGTTTCAGTTATACAATGATCAAGTACCCATCCCTCCACCAGTGCCCATCCTCCACCGCCACGAGTCCCAGCATCCCTCCCACCCCCTATACCCCCCATCCCACCCTGCCTCTGTGGCAGGGCATTCCCCCTTGTTCTCTCTCTCTTCTTTTGGGTCCTGTGTCTTGCAAGAGAAGCATTGAGTGGCAATCATGTTTGGTCTATAGTCTACTTTCAGCATGCTTCTCCCACCCTGGGAGGATCCTCCCAATACCCTTTATTTGGTGCTCCCTTCTCTATCTGAGCTTCCTTTTCCCCTAGCACGTGTGGCTGGCCTCCAAGTCATGGAGCAAAATTCCTGGTACTAATCTCAGCCACTCCTGGGTGTTATTCTCCCATTTTGTTGCTTTATGTTCCCCAGATGAATGCAATTTTTCTGTGTCTATCCCGCTCTTTCTGACTCATTTCACTTAACATGATATCCCAGAGAGGCAAAAAATATATAGTCGAAGTGACATCTGCAATTGTTTGTTCATTGAAGCACTCTTTACAATAGCCAGAATCTGGAAAAAACCTGAGTGCCAATGGAGTACTATGTAGCTGTTAGAAAAGATGAAGTCATGAAATTTTAAGTGCCTTTTATAAAAAAAAAATCTATACACGACGGATGTCGTCACAGATTCAGTTTGAGGCAGAGATTCCTGAATGGTTGACATGGGTATATTCCACCAGGGGCTCCCATTTGGATATCCCAGCAAACAGGCTATGATTATTGATGTCAACGTTTCACATTCCCCTGTGGTGGGGGCCATCTGACAAAGCAGAGCGCTTGTGCTGAAGCTGGCAGAGGGCAAGAGACACACCGACACACGTCAGAGTGACCATGTAATGCTTCTCCGCAGAGTGGCAGTGCCCCTCAGCTGTCCAGTCGAGAACAGCCTATGAGGCCAACGGGCTGCTTAAGCTAATTTGGAAAAGTAGACAAACATGCTGCTACATTGAATTTTTTTTCTTCTAAAATGTGTTGGAATAAAGCATTTCAGTGTATCTGTTTCTGCACACAGAGGACTTGTCTGACCCCCTTGAGGGATTTCCCGGGGGGGGGCCTGACCTGGGGAACAATCAGTTCCCCATCACATGGGGGCCTGGTGTCCAGGGCTCGCTGGAGCTGGATTCTCACGGATAAAGTGATGGTGGTACTGCCCAGCCAACGGGCCCTTTTTCTCTATTAATATTCCCTTTCTTGCCATGCAAAGAGCATATCAAATGCCAGGGAGAGTGGCATTGGTATAGAAATAAACCTGAATCTGGTTGGGGGAAATATTTCATATTTCATTATTTCAAAAAATTGTGGGTGTTTCAATTTTTTTTGAATTTCTGCTTCCTTCTCTCTCCTCACTCTGGAAGTCCAAATACCGTGCGTTATTGTGGGCCTAGCCAATAAATCTCCAAGACTTAGCTCATGTTCAGAGTCTTCTCGGGTTGGGTTATTTTTAATTCATCCTCAAATTCAACAGTTCTTTCCTCTACCCGTTCCACTGCTCAGCCCATCCAGCAAATACTTTCTTTCACTTCAGATATATATTTTTTCCCTTTCAGAACTCTCCTTTTGCTCTCTTCATGGTTTCTGTTTCTCACCTGAGACGCCATTGGCTCTGCTTTCTTTTAAATTGCCGAACAGTCACGGCTGCCTTCAAGTCTGTGTCTGAGCATTCCAGCATTCGCATGGCCTTGAAGTTGGCACCAATGGTTGTCTTTTCCCCTGAGGATGGGTCGCCTTTACACATGTTAGACGTATTGTGGGGTCCTGTATCCTGCCCTATGGTCTGAAAGTATGGCCATTTCTCATTTGTGGTAGCAGCCAGTGAAGATGGACGAAGAAAGGGGGGATGCGGCAGTGAGTGGCCGCCTGAGTCTTTGGCTCCTTTATCTTTTCCTGCGATGCTGAAGGTCTCTGTTCTTCATGCTTGTGCTCTAGGGGGATTTACCAGAGACTCAGGCAGAGCGGATACAATTAGGGGTTCTCCTTTAGCTCTGCAACTCCAAGCTCCTGCAACCCTCAGTTCCTCATGGTTCCAGTTGCCCATTATCCTTGATCAAGCCCCAAACCATTATCGATGTTCTGAGTCCTTAGCGTCTCACCCCAGGGGGCATCTGTCTTCCCTGAGGCCAACACCTTCAGGGGCGCACAGCCTAGCTGCTTCCCAGCCCTTCTCCACCAATTCCCCTCTCCTGAGTCTGTCTGCTCTCAGTTCTGCACTTTCCCCAGAGCTCAGAGCTCTCCTCAGGGCGTCGAGCTCACAACTACAGTCAGGGAAAGCACCGTTGGATGCTGGGTTCACAGACGAGCCTCGGGTGCTGTTTCTCCGCTTCCTGCAAGATGTTAAGTCCTGACTGTAGGAACTGCCTGTTTGATTTTATTTTATGAATACAAATGAAAGCTTATTTTACACAATGGAGGCCGTACAGAAGCTCACTCCATCATTTCATCCTCCGTGACCATTTCCCTTTCACTCCCCTTTCACCTCCAAAATAGCCTGACTAGAGTAACTCTCCCACACAGCAAAGTCCTGGCAAGCTCCCTGTGACGTATTCGATATGCCAAACACAGTAACAATTGTCACAATGGAGACGTTACTGGGCCCGCTCGAGCAAATTGATGAACAACGGGAGGACAGTGACAGTGACAGAGGCTATTAGAGTAGCCTGACTACATGTTATCATAGCAAGTGCTCCGGTGACATCAAGTCAATCCCAGGTACTATAAAGTCCAACAGTTCAAGCAAGAGTTGCCTGAGTTCTATGACCTGTGACCTGTGTCCTGTGACCTGTGTCCTTGTCTTGTATTGACAGATCCACTTGCTTCGGCACCTTTCAAACTGAGGGAGCCCAGGAGGAAGCAGTGACTGAAAGGGCACCCAGTGCTCAGATCCTGTGTCTAGGCTTGATGATGCTCCCACATCATTACAGCAGGAGCAACCACCATGTTCTATTTGTCCATCATTATCAGTAGCTCATTGTTATTTTAGTTAGCAACTATATAATGTGACTTCTTGGTCTTTAGGACCAGGAAAGCGGCCCCTTTATTATTTTTTTCCAAGCACATTTTTATATTTTTTTTAATTTTTATTAGTGAAACACCATGAGGTACAGTTGTAGACTGACAATTTTTTGTGTTTGGGTTTCAGTTATACAATGATCCAGTACCCATCCCTCCACCAGTGCCCATTCTCCATTATTTACATTTTTTTTAAAACTTTTGTTAGTGAAACACCATGAGGTACAGTTGTAGATTTACAAATTTTTGTGCTTGGGTTTCAATTGTACAATGATCAAACACCCATCCCTCCACCTGTGCCCATTTTCCACCACCACGGGGCCCAGTATCCCTCCCACCCCCCATCCCCCCACCCCACCCTGCCTCTGTGGCAGGGCATTCCCTTTTGTTCTCTCTCTCTCTCCTTTTGGGTGCTGTGGTTTGCAAAAGAGGCATTGAGTGGCAATCATGTTTGGTCTGTAGTCTACTTTCAGCATGCTTCTCCCATCCTGGGAGGATCCTCCCAACAAGGCGGCCCCTTTAAAGGTTCTTGCCTTGCTTAACTCTTACAGGCCCTTGATCATCACATAGAAAGACCCTGAGGCTCAGAGTTCATTCCCTTCAGCAGTATCAAATAGCTAAAGTCATTAGGGAAGGGTCTCCTGCTACTGGAAGACACAGCCTTGTGATATCGTCCCCACCCGCACCCCGCCCCTCTTTATTTTATCCCCTTTAAGGTGCCACTCTCCCCCCACCCCACCCCACCCCACTGTCACTGTCACTGTCCTGTTGTTCATCGATTTGCTCAAGCAGGCCCAGTAACATTGTGGGACTTGTTGTTACTGTGTTTTGGCATATCAAATTCGTCATGGGGAGCTTGCCAGGCTTTTCCGTGTGGGTGAGATACTCTTGGTAGCTTGCCAGGCTCTCTGAGAAGGGCGGAGGAATCGAACTCAGCTCGGCCCGGTCGGCCGTGTGCAAGACAAACTCCCTACCTGCTGTGCTATCGCTCCAGCCCACCATCCAATGTTTTTTTTGTGTGTTCCACATTTTCTCAGGTTCAGTTGTTTCATTCAAAACCCATACATCTAAAGAACAGTGTTTTTCATCTAGTATCATATTTTTTTTTTTGCTTTTTGGGTCACACCCAGCGATGCTCAGGGGTTACTTCTGGCTTTGTGCTCAGGAATTATTCTGCAGGGGACCATATGGGATGCTGGGAATTGAACTTGGGTTACTACGTGCAAGGAAAATTCCCTACCCGCTGTACTATCGCTGCAGCCCTAGTGTCATATTTTAAATGTGCTCTTTTTGTTGGTTTGTCTCTTAGGAGGAAGTGCTGCAAAGGATATAAATTTGTTCTCGGACAGTGCATTCCAGAAGGTATGTGACTCGAGAGGGACTGGGTCTCTATCCGCTGTTTATAACTCACGGCGAAGCTCAGATGTTTGTGGGAGGTGGGGGTGTTGTTCTCGGTGTCTATGTGTGTCGTTAATCATTTTCACCATCATTTGGCTACATGTAGCCCTCTTTACCTCATTCCTCATAGGACATTCACACAAACCCTGAGTGATTTTTTGGTTTTTTTTGTTGTTCATGTTTTTGAGCCAAACCCAGCAGTGCTCAGGGGGCCATGCCACACTGGGGATCGAACCTGGGTCTTCTGCCTGCCAGGCAAGTGCCAAACCCCTGTACTATTTCTCCAGCCCTTGGGTGATTCATCTATTTCAGATTTTATGCTTACTCAATAACTCTACCCTAATCAGCCTTTCCTAAAGTCATAAAATACATGGGTGCTCCTGGCCTCTCTATTTGCTTTTCATGTGCTAAACTTGAAGCCTATTCATATGCCCAGCAGTGGACACAGCACCCAGCCCACCACTGAAAAGGGAGCGATGGACATCACGAACCCAATCTCCAAGGCGAACATCCTCAAGACTCTTGGAGACAAGAGTCTCGCCAATGGAATCAGAGACACATGGATTTTAATCACATCCACATTACATGATCAGTCCATTGGGGCTGCTGTAACTTAAGTACGATAGACAGTTCTGGAAGCTGGGAGATTCAAGACCAAGGTCAGGAAAGATTCAGTGTTTGGGTGAGAGCCTCCTGGGTCACCTCTCCTCTGCAACCTGGCTGAGGGTTCTCTAGCTAAAGATACTGGATCCCTTTCCATAATGATGGTCATTTTGCTCGTTATAATAGAATCTCCTCCCATAGGGGCTCCCTCCAGATACCTTCACTTGGAGGCAGTTCAGCACGGGAACTTCAGGAAATCACAACATTCAGACAGCCTCCAAGCTGTGAGTTTGGACAAAGTACTTCCTGGAGCTTAGTCTTGGCAGAAAAAGCATTAGTCCTGGATTCCAGTGGTTGGCTTAAGAATGTTGGTGCAGAGAGGGAGCAATAGCAGGTAGGGCAGCTGCCTTGCACATGACCAACCTGGGTTTGATCCCAGGTACCCTGTATGGTCCCCAGAACCCAAGAGTGACCCCTGAGTAAGGAACCCCTGAGTAAGCAGAGCAGAAGTAAGCCCTGAGCAACACTGAATGTGGCCCAAAAACAAAACGAAAATAATGTCTGTGCAGGGGAAGTCCTTGGGCAGATGTGTGTCTGGCTCTCTCCTTGATAAACCAGTAGTTCTGAGGTACTGCTTTTCTCATTAAGAAACCTTCGAGTGCAGCTGCCGACACAGTGCAGTGTAGGCTCAGAGAATGCAGAACACAGAAGACCAAGGCAGTCAGAGGTGGCTTCAAGGAGGACAAGCGTCACCAAGGCACAAAGCACAGGCCTCTAGACCTGGAGGAAGAAGAGCAGCAAAAGACCCGAGCCTGGGCAGAAACTCCAGGAACTGGTCAGAAGAGCATGAGATGAATCTACCCAGTCTTGGATGCTGGGAGAAGCCTTGTTGCACTTCACTCCGGCCCATGAAGCCCGTCTCTAAACCATCTGGAGCCCAGCCAGGCTAGTTCATGCACCAGCGTCTGTAGACAGTATGGGCCCTGTCAGCAGGAAATAAATGGATCCTGCCTATTTATTATTCCCTTAGGTGAGATGATGGACGAGATCATTATGCCACAGCCAGGACCTCTGAGAAGGCTGCATCAGGAAGGCTTAGGAGACCCTCCCAGTAAGACTGGCCACGAGGCCTTGGATCTCTCCCAGACTTTCTCCCTGCCAGCTGATGGATGGAAAAACCCACAATGGTCAAAATAATTGCATTCTTGTATAAGCCAACTTCTCTCCATTGCCAGCTGTAGTCTTTGTGTTTCAACTTGGCAGATACAGAAAGAAAGTGAAGTTTCAATCACTCCATCTAAGAACCCCAGCTGTCACAACCTTACCCAATCTCATTTAAAACGTACTCCATGGATACCACAGATTAGAGTTTCCTTAAATGTTAGGGGTTGCGGTGTCAAACATCTAGACCTAGAATTAGTCTCCTCTGCGCTGCAGGGGACCAAACTGACATGCAATTAAGCATCACAAACAACAAACGGAAACTAGAATTTCTAAACAATTTTAATCACTGACACATTGCTATAAGTTAAAGATGTACACCCTCTGAACTTGGCCCCCTGTTTGTGTTTGCAAATAAAGTTTTATTGAGATACAGCCATGCCCATTTCCTTAAGTATCATCTATGGCTGCTTTGGCCCCACAAATAGCTTTGCTAATTCATGACAGTGAAGGTTAACATAGTCAAAACATTTTATCTAGCCCCCTTACAGAAAATATGTGTCGACTCACTGCTCTAAGTGGTCTCTTGACTGGCCAGGGAGTGGGGAGATCAACCTTGTTCTGTTTGGTGTTTATGAACTGAGTGTCGACTGGAGGAAGAGGGTTGTACTGCAACAGTAACGGGACCTGCCAGGTACCCAAACAATTCTAACAAAATACCCCCTGAGAGCAAAGACGGGGATTTCATGTTTTGTGCATTAACCATGTTTAACACATTGACCAATCCTTGTTGAAGCACAGTCCATGCCGCTGCTCTCTCCCTAGTTTATAGAAAGGAAAACTGAAGCTTAGAGACCTGATGTCCAGAGAGAGGAGCAGAAGAGAGCAACTCCTGAAACTGTCCTCCCAGATCATGCTTCCTGCCCTACCCCAAGCCCTGACAAGACCTTCACAGAGGCAACAAGGAGCCTGGTGGGGTGCAGAGTCATGGGGTGGAGAAGACAGGGGAGCAAGGGAACCGAGAAGGAGCCCAAGACATGTAAGATGCCCAAGGGGGGCGAAGGAGGAGTGAGGAGCCGGTCTAGCAGTGGGAAGAACAGAAGGCAGGAATGTGAGGGGAGTGGGGGGGAGGGAAGAGGCCTCAGGGTGATCCAAGGACAAGGAGTCCATAGGTTGGCACAGAGACTGCCCAGAGGCAGGATGGACACCTTGGATGCAAGAACAAGCTACTCCCGGTGAAGGATGGAGTTCCCAGGGTTTTCTGGACTGAGGTGCTGACCTGCAGAGAGCTAGCTTTGGGGAGAGGGTGGTGTTGGGCCAAGTGGATTCAAGTGGAACCCATGGGGGGTTCTCAGGGTCTGTAAAGGACCCGCACAGAGAAACAGCATGGACTGCAGGTACAGGGTCAGGCTGCAGAGACATTGGCACCAGAGTGAGGAGATCGCCCAGATGCACGAGGCTGCTGCCCCCAGAAACTGCACCCCACCTCATGGCGGACGCAAGGGGAAGAGGCAGAGGACAAAACAGGGATAAATGGTGGCAATTCGGGAGCCGAGTAACAGTGCCTGAGCAAAGGGGAGGGGAAATCCTTGCATTGGAAACTCGGAAGCCGAGTCCACACCAGAAATGGCAGAAAAGCCCCATCTCCAGAAGGAGGCACCGGAAGAGGAAGAAACAGCCAAGGCAGAAGTGCTGGTGGAAAGTTTGCTTAGAATACTCAGGGCGCCGCCCGAGAGATAGTGAGGGGTGAAGGCCTCACCTTGCGTCTCACCAGCTCCAGTTCAGTCTCCGGCACCACAGGGGGCCCCCCCCAGACCCACCAGGGGTCATTCCTGAGCACAGAGCCCAGGAGCCACCAAGTCTGGTGTGAACCCAAATCCCCCCAAAATTTTCAGGGTCATGGATGGCTCAGGACACAAGCCTGCGTGACTCTCAGGACTGTCTGGCTGCCTGAGCACCCCCAAGTGACCCCAAGCACCACCGGGCCCAATACTGAGGGACAGCCCCACCCTCACAATGCAGCAAGGGCTTATGGGACAGAGTGGGCCTGGAGTCCAGGTGTGGGAGAGCACTGTCTGGCCTGAGTCCAGGTGTGAGGAGCACTGTCAGGTCTGAGTCCAGGCATGGGGAGCACTGTCTGGCCTGAGTCCATGTGTGAGGAGCACTTTCAGGCCTGAGTCCAGGTGTGAGGAGCTATGTCAGACCTGAGTCCAGGCACGAGGAGCACTGTCTGGCCTGAGTCCAGGTGTGAGGAGCACTGTCAGGCCTGAGTCCAGGTATGAAGTGAGGAGCACTATCACGCCTGAGTCCAGACCCACAAGGAATGCAGGTTTCTTCTGGTCAGAGCAGCCCTGCCAAAGCCTGGCCAGCAGCCCCCCTCTACCATGGCCTGCAGAGCAGCCCAGCCAGACGCTGTGTCCAGGCCCGTCCATCTGTCGGCACCTGGGGAAGGCCGCCCCGTGATTTATGACATATGGCATCGGCCAGCGCGCCTGTGTCCAGCCAGAGCCAGGGCTCATTAAGTGTGTGGGAGATGGCGCCTCATCGACGAGAATGGGGGGGGCACCCCATGTGCAGCTGGGAAGGTGGCCGGAGGTCCTGACCCCTGGCTCCAGTCAAGCCCCTTCTCCGTCCCCACGGGCACCCGCACAGCAGTCACAGGTCACCTCTCTGATAATACTCAGGTCTCTGTCGCAGCGGCCCCTCGCCGCCCCCGCCCAGCCCCAGGCCCCTTTACTCACACAGGACACAAGCACGAGCTCACCCGAGGGCTCCTGTGCCCCATCCCGTCAGGAGCACCCAGGGGTCCCCCAGTGCTGGTAGGAGGCACAGCACCAGCCCTGGAAAGTGGCATCTCTGCTCCCTGGAGGAGGTGGCATCGGGAAGCAGCACCCACGCTATGTGCCCCGACGTCTGCCCAGCCCCTCCACAGGGCACCAGCACCTGGGCAGTAAACAGCTCTCAGCTGCAGGCTACTGTGCCAGGACAGTCCCCCATGGCCCCTGCCCCAGGAGCCTCCGGTTGATGCACTTCCCCTCTCTCTTGCAGACTATGACGTGTGTGCAGGGGCACCCTGCGAACAGCAGTGCACAGACAACTTCGGCCGCGTGCTCTGCACCTGCTACCCTGGGTACCGCTATGACCGGGAGAGGCACCGCCGTCGGGAGAAGCCCTACTGCCTGGGTCAGTGCCCCCACGCCCTCCATGAGCCCTGGCTGACCCCCCCCCCCGGGACCAGCTCCCCAGGCTGCCCCACCCTGATGGCAGCTTACCTGACACTGTCACTTGACTTGGGGGTGCCAAGATCCTCGGGTCATGGACAGCCACCAGGACTGCCGAGGGCTCAGGCATGAGGTTTCAGGGAGGGTGAGAGCAGCTGAGTCCTGGCCAGGAGTGAGCTGGGCTCTCCGATGGGATGTTGCCTGCAGTATGGCCAGGCCACATGAGCATGGTGACATTCCCGTGGCCGACACCTTCCCCCCACACACACACCCACACACCCACACACACAGAGAACCTCCAGCAATGACTAGCAAGTGGACCTGGGCCTCCTTCTCTTCGCAGACAGTAAGCAGGTGCCCTCATAAAGAGAAAAATCTTGGGGCTGGTTAGGGTGTTAGCCTTGCATGTGGTCGATCCGGGTTTGATTCCCAGGATCCCATATGGTACTCTGAGCACTGCCAGGAATAATTCGTGAGTGCATCACCAGGTGTGACCCAAAAAAGGAAAAAAAGAGAAAAAAAAGTCTCCCCGAGTTCAGGGCACTCTGGCTCTTTGCCCATTTGAAGAGCCACGAGGCACCTTCCCACTGCTGGTGGGGCCACTGACGAGGCAGAAACCTCCAGGGACTCTGCTCCATTTGGCCTCTTTATGGTGCTGTCCTTTCACTGGAAGGGGCTTCTCCTGGGTCGCACCATGTCCCAGAACACAGAGATGGGAGATGCCAGGAGGCCGGGGAGAGAGTCCCTGCAGAAAGTCCTCACGATCACAAATGTTCCCTGCCTAGGGCACCAGAGAGGCAGGACAGCGGGGAGGGCACTTGTCTTAGACATGGCCTACCTGGTGCCTGCACCCTGCACCCCAGGAGCGATCACTGAACACAGAGCGGGGAGTGAGCCCTCAGCACATCCCCATGTGGTCCCCATAAGGCAAATCCCCAATGTCCCTGCTTCGGTTCCTGGGATTCCTGAGTGCAGCGGGAGTCGGGAGTCGGGGCATCAACCTCGATGGACGCAGCGGGGATCCCAGCACAAGACTGGGGCTCCTTGGGGTTGCGCAGAGAACACCTGGGCACTGGGGGCTCCCAGCAGGCCCTTTCCAGCCGGGTGTCCCCAGTCGGCCCCCCTTCCCACCCTCCTGCGCGCTGGAGGAAATTCTGGGGTGGCCTGAGCATCCCTGCCTCTGGCTCCCCACAGATGTGGACGAGTGCGCAGCCGGCAACGCCTCCCTGTGCGCGCACACTTGCATCAACACGCCGGGCAGCTTCCGCTGCGAGTGTCGGGCTGGGTACGTGCTGGAGGACGGCGGCAGGACGTGCACCCGGGCCGACAGGTACCCCAACGACACTGGTGAGTGACAGCCGGCACCCCCTCACTCAGGCACGCGGGAAGGGGCGACTGCTGGGGATGATATGTGAATGACAGGCCGGAGGGGAGGAGGAAGGCGGGGTGGGGTGGGCAGTGAGGGTCGCGCCCCCCAAGCAGTGCTGGTAGTGTCCAGATGAATCTACGGAAGACCCCCTCCCCCGCACCAGACTACAGCGGGGAAGCACAGTTCAGAGACGCAGCCCAGAGCACTCCCTTGCAGAGCACCCAGCAGCACCCACTGGGTCCCCACTGGCAAGTTGGGGTTTTTCCTTGGAAATCCCCTCCCCAGGTGGGCTGAGAAATCAGGGCCCCAGCAGCGCGCAGGCCTTGTCCGGCCTCTCTCCCCGCTGATCGTGCTGCAGAACCAGCAAGGGCAGAGCCGGCTGGCATCAGAGTAGCCGCCTTTAGCCAAGGTGTCTGGCCGCTGGGCACGCGGACTGCAGGATGCCGCAGTGGCTTATTTAAGGGGGTGACAAAGAAAAACAGGGTAGCTGCCTCCAGCCCTTGCAGCCAGGAGGTGCCAATAGATCCGAGATTCTGGGCTGCCACCACCTCCAGCTAGAGAAAAAGGGCAGGATGCTGGGGGCGCTGGAGCAAGCAGGCCCCGTGGGGCCTCCGGCCAAGCATCAGAAACCAGGAGGTGAGGTGGTAGGAAGCTTCTGGTGCTCAGGAGAGGGGTCTCCTGCTGCCGTGGGAGATTCCACACTGCCAGATTTGGGGGGAGGCCAACACGACACTGATGGCAGCAGTGACCTGGGGCCAGGCACAGCCATCTCACAAGGAGAAAGAATCGAGTCGTGTTGGGAGCTCCAGAGATGAGTCTGTATGAAAATGCCACTGGAGGGGCAGGAGAGTGCAAAGGCTGTGGCTCTGCGTGCAGCTGGGCTGGTCCCATCGGGCTCTGAGCACCCCCAAGGCGTGAGCACTGACCACTAAGTGCGGCCCCCAAACCAGACAGAAGAACAACAAAACCTTAGGGGACCCTGACAGAGTGCGGGACTGTGTAACGCTTTCAGAGTCTGAGGCATGCAGGAAGCCTCGGGAAGATGCCAGAAGCTGGGAGCTGGTTTGGGGGCAGCAAAGCCAACTCAAAGACGTGTGTTCTGAGACCCCTCTTTTGGTTTAGTGTTTGGAAGTAGATCGGGTTTTGGATGGAGATTCTGAGGAAGCGGGGGAGGGAAGAGTAATGTGCTCAAGAGAGAAGGAAGACTTCTCCAGAGAGGAAACAGCCCTGGGACCATCCTAGTGTTAGATAAGAAAGGATCAGGGTGGACATCTCTAGAGGGGGGAGGTGGACCGCAGTGATAGTCCAGCAGGTCGATGCTTCCCTTTCACACTGCCAACCCCGGGTGGATCCCCAGCATCTTCACGTGGTCCCCTAAGCACGAGCAGGAGTGATTCCTGAGTCTAGATCCAGGAATAACCCCTGAGCATCGCCAGGTGTGGCACAAACCCCGCCCCAATAAAAGAGGGTCGATGTGGGTGACAACCAAGCTCAAGTGTCATATGTGCTCCAGGCCCCTCTTGACCTTCAGAATTAAAATGACCTTTCCTGTCCTACACTGCAAAGTGGGGACTGTGGGACTTACCTCTAAACTGATGTGCTTCTCAGGAAAGAAGTGGGATGCCACCATTCTGGCCCCTGGCATTTTCTAGGGCATGCTTTCCCAGATACCAGCGCCAATCCAGTAGGTTCTGATTTTTTGTGGGTTTGGGCTTCCAGCTGTCCTCCACGCCGGCTTTCCTGAGGGCATGGACACCTCAGCCACCTATCTTCACTCTATGTGCCTGGTGACGGTGCTCTGCAACCTCCGGGACTTTGCACCCAATGGGCAGCCCCTGTAATTCCAGGACTGCAGCCTGCAGCAGGTCAGACTGGGGTTCCATGACAGGAAACCCCAAATACCACGGTCAGGCTTGGGTGGTCCCTCATACTGAGCCAGCCCTGGGAATCTGATCTGCTTCCCCTCCCTGAGAGAGGACTTGTTCTTAAACTTTCCCCCAACGCAGTTTGGGTACAAGAGAGCAAGAATCTTAAGTGAGGCCACTTGAGTTTCTAAGCTCCAAAGTTCAGGGAAAATATGAAACATGATCACTCCGATGTACAGCTCTACTTTACAATTGTTTTGAATGTTTTATAGTATCTCTTTCATTGAAAGATGTTTATTTTTAATTAAATCATAGTTACAAAGCTGTTCATGATTGGGTTTGGGTCATACAATGTTCCAACACTAGACCCTTGACCAGTGTATATTTCCCACCATCATTTTCCCTCCTTCCACCCCCACCCCTAGTCTGCCTCTATGGGAGTCACTTTTCTCTGCTCCCCCACCCCCAGCCCACGTTCTCGTTCTCTCTCTCTCTTTCCTTTGGGGCATTATGGTTTGCTCTACAAACCATCACAGTCACGGTCCTCCCGTTGTTCAGCGATTTGCTCGAGCGGACCCAGTAACGTCTCCATCATGAGACTTGTTGTTACTGTGTTTGGCATATCGAGTACGTCACAGGTAGCTTGCCAGGCTCTGCCGTGCGGGCGAGATACTCCTGGTAACTTGCCTGGCTCTCCGAGAGGGGCGGAGGAATCGAACTTGAGTCAGCCATGTTGGCTGCATGCAAGGCAAACACCCTACTGCTGTGCTATCACTCCATACAAACCATAATGAAAAATTATCATGCATGATCCTTTACCTCCTTTCAACACTCAGTTCTTGTCCATAGTCATCGTTTCCCACTATCATTTTCATAGTGGTCCCTTCTCTATCCCAACTGCCCTCTGAAAGACATTTTCTCTTACCCACTGACCACAGACCTTTGCAAAAAGAACAGTAATTCTTCCATGTCGTTTGGAGTCCCGTGAGAGATCTGTGAATGTGGCATCCTTAAGAAGGCTCTCTGGGGCAGGAGCCATAGTACAGAATATAAGGCATTTGCCTTGCATACAACCGACCTGGGTTCTATCCCCAGCATTACATATGGTCCCCTGAGCACCACCAGAAGTAATTCCTGAGTGCAGAGCTAGGAGTAACCCCTGAACATCACTGGTTGTGACCCAAAAAAGCCAAAATAGAAAAGAAGAAGAAGAAGAAGAAGAAGAAGAAGAAGAAGAAGAAGAAGAAGAAGAAGAAGAAGAAGAAGAAGAAGAAGAAGAAGGCTGTGTGCTTGCATGTTTGAGGGATAATGCATTCCTGCACCCACATCTTAAGAATTTGTGTGCATTAAAAAACAGGAGAGGGCATTATAAAACGTTGATGTGGGGGAGGGGTGGGCAGGATTGTGGCACACAGACCTTGCACATGCAAGTTCCTGAGTTCAATCCCCAGCACCTCAGGACCCACCAGGTGTGACCCTTATACAAACAGTTCATTTTGTTGAAACGGGCACTTCCCCCCAAATCCTCATGAAACATCACACAGCAGACATCTGGTCAACCTGCAGGGTAATTGCTGTCATTCCCAGCACAACAGCCAAGGCCCTGCTGCAAGAAGGAGTGAGAACAGGTTTCTTTCTTTGTTTCTTGGGGTCAGTTTTCCTATTCATCAAGGCCTCCCACTGGAGCAGTAAGACCCGCCCGGTTGTCTGAAAATTCTGCTTTCCAGCCTCGTGTCCACTGCAGGCCATGAGCTGCTGAAAGCCTCCCTCGGTGACAAGGCCGCTGCTATTCAGTGGAACAGCAGGAAATGTGCAAACCAGAGGTTGAGAATTCTGCTTCTTACCACCACGCTCCCAGGCATCTCAGAACTCAGTGGTGCCTGTTCCCTCTGCACCACCCATTCATGAACAGAGATGAGTCTATTTTTATTGACAACTGCCAGCCCCTGGGTCACAGACACCTTCCCTGGCTGTGGCATCATGAAGTATTCATTCTTTTTTAATTTAAAACACTCTGTTTATTAGACTATGAAAAATTCTTTTTTTATTGTAAACATTTTTTAAATTTTTTAATTTTTTTTATTTTTAATTAATCACCGTATGGTATAGTTTCAGGCTTACAAACTTTCATGACTATGTTTCAGTCATACAGTGTTCAAGTACCCATCCCTCCACCAGTGCCCATTCTCCACCACCAATGATCCCAGTATCCCTCCTGCCACCTACCCACCCCCCCACCCCTCTCCTTTGAGGCACTTTCCCTTTTACTCTCTCTCTCTCCTTTTGGGTGTTATGATTTGCAATATGGGTACTAAGTGGTCATCATGTTCGGTCCATAGTCTACTTTCAGCACACATCTCCCATCCCAAGCGGGCTCTCCAAGCATCCTTTACTTGGTGGTCCCTTGTCTCTCCCAGCTGCCTTTTCCCCCAGCATGTGAGGCTGGCTTCAAAGCCATGGAGCAATCCTCCTGGTCTTTATCTCTACTATCCTTGGGTGTTATTCCCACATTCTGTTACTTTATATTCCACAAATGAGTGCAGTCATCCTATGTCTGTCCCTCTCTCTCTGACTCATTTCACTTAGCATGATACTCACCATGTCAATCCACTTATATGGAAATTTCATAGCTACATGAAGTATTCTTGACTTGGTATTCCCACGTGTCTCATGAGCTCTATGCTACAGAGGGCTGCACTGGTTTCCCTCCCGCCGGCGGGAGCCAGGGCCACGCAGACATTTGGGCTGAGGAGAGGAACCCACACATAAATGGAAGCCCAGAGACAGGACAGTCACATTTGTGGGCCATGAGGATCGCATCAGATGGGACATGCCGCCGGGAAGGCAGGTGCTGACCTGGGGGTTTGGGTGTGCCAGCAGCAAGTGCCCTGGTGAGTTGCTTTTGTTTCAGGGTTTTGTTCCATGGCAGCTGCAGTGCTGAGGAGAGGTCCCTGTCCCTGATGACTCCCAGGCAGTTAGCTGAGCACTGTCCTGGCGACTCCCTGGTCAGTAGAAGCACATGGACAGGCACGGCCTCCCTTGGGGCCATTTCGACTGTGGAACTAGGGGAGCTCTGAAGACCCCTTAGTCTCATGGTTTGGGGTGCTGGGGCAAAGGGGGGTGAAGTGACACCCAGCACCCCCAGGAGCCCGCCCATAGACCTGGCAGACCTGGGCAGCTTGGCCCCTCCCACCGGAAGCTGACTCATGGACAGACGTGCTGGGGGCAGGGGGCGGAAAGGCATCCATGGAGCCTCACATCTGCCACGTCCCAGGCAGCCCACCAGCTGCATCTGTTGGGGACTAATAAGCCCCGTGCTCCGTGGCGGTTACTTTGTTTTATGGAGGGTGATTATTGAGTGTGGCCAAGACCTTCCCTCAATTTGCTTTTTTATGAGGCCACCTCAACAGGGCTTGGAAGGAGGGACAGGCGGGCCTGCCTGCTCACTGGACCCAGCCAGACTTCAGGAGCAGAGAGCCCCAGACGGGGTTCAGAACCAGGTGTGAATTCCAGGCATTTGCTCTGGCCCCAGGCCAGCTCTCCAGACCTCTTTGTGGCCGCTGCCCACTACTGGGGATTTTAACTTTATTTGCCTTATGCAGGGCCTTGTGGTTGGAGGAAGGGAAGTGCAGGCAGGCTGGGGGCACAAGGTCTGGCCCCAGGGACACTGGCTGCAAGGCAGGACTGCACGGTGGTGCCTCTGGGCGTCTCTTGGGAAACATGTCACTGGAGACCGTTTAGTGACTTCAGGGAGCTCAGGGAGCCCCAATAGGGGGATGAGTTAAAGATGCGCTGTTCCACAGACAGGCGCTCGGGTCTCTGTTTTTCAGCTTGTGTTTACTTTCTGATGACGCAGCACGGCGCCCAGCAGGACTTACAGACAGTTAGAGTGTCAGGGCTGACCAGGTGTTTCTTGTAACCCTCACGCCTGGCTAATCTGCTGGCCAAAACCCGGGAGGCTGGAAAAACTGCTGATATGATCTACCCCCGTGCAGAAGCATCAGGGGAATAGCCACCCGCCACCCTGCGTGGGTACAACAAGAGGCCGTCTGCACAATGGCTCATAAATGCGGACAGACCTCACTCGTGTGCTGCTGGCCATGGGAAGTATGTGGGGAGCATTCTGTCATTCCCGGGGTTTATTAAATATTATTAATGCGGTATGTAAGGAATTCCAACGCTCCGAGTGTGTCCCACATGCCCCCCTGTGGCCGCCTGCTGCCGGTGCAGGCTCTGCTACCGAGTGCCCTGGAGGCGGCTCCGTGAGGCGTCCCTGGACTGCAAACAGGCGAGGCCAGCGACATCAGCCCAGATTTCTCAGTGGATTCTTCCTATTAGACACACGATTATTTCTACTTCTCAGCTGAAGTTCCAGGAGGAGAACTGCAGGGCAGAGGAGCCCGTTTTGGAAGAGAAACCAGCTTCCAGCCTGTTCATGGCCCACGAGAGCACTTTCCAGAGGCTCCTGTTTCAGGGCCACCCACACCTGTGACAACGGGGCCTGTCATAGCACACGAGCACTGGGAAATGTATTGTAGCACACGGATGTGAAACACTGAGACATATTGTAGCACACGGCTCCTATGACACTGAGACATAATTATAGCACACGGCTCCTGTGACTGTGAGGGCCACCACAGCCCATGGCTCCTGGGACACTGAAACATATTGTAGCACACGGCTCCTGTGAACAACGTGAGGGCCACCACAGCACACGGCTCCTGGGACCCTGAAGGGTGCCACAGCACACAGCTCCTGGGACACTGAGACATATTGTAGCACACGGGTCCTGTGACACTGTGAGAAGCGCCATAGCACATGGCTCCTGTGACACTGTGAGGGCCACCACAGCACAATGCTCCTGACACTGTGATACTGCAAGGGGCACCACAGCACACGGCTCTGTGACACTGAGACATATTAAATAGCAGACAGCTCCTGTGACACTGTGAGACACATGGTAGCACATGGTTTTTGTGGCATTGTGAGGGACATCATAGCACACAGCTCCTGTGATATGGTGACACACATCATAGCATATGGCTCCTGTGACACTGTGAGGGCCATTGTAGAACAAGTCTCTTGTGACACTGACACACGTCATAGCACACAGTTCCTGTAACACTGTGAGATATATCATAGCACATGGTTTCTGTGGCATTGTGAGGGACATCATAGCACACAGATCCTGTGATACTGTGACACACATCAAAACATATGGCTCCTGTGACACTGTGAGGGGCATCGTAGTACAAGACTCCTGTGACACTGGCACACGTCATAGTACACAGTTCCTGTAACACTGTGAGACATATCGTAGCACACGGTTTCTGTGGCATTGTGAGGGGCATCATAGCACACAGCTCCTGTGATACTGTGACACACATCATATCATATGGCTCCTGTGACACTGTGAGGGGCGTCTTAGTACAAGAGTCCTGTGACACTGGCACACATCATCGCACACAGTTCCTGTAACACTGTGAGACATATCGTAGCACACAGTTTCTGTGGCATTGTGAGGGGCATCATAGCACACAGCTCCTGTGATACTGTGACACACATCATAGCATATGGCTTCTGTGACACCGTGAGGAGCGTCGTAGTACAAGACTCCTGTGACACTGGCACATGTCATCACACACAGTTCCTGTGACACTATGACACTGGCACACATCATCGCACACAGTTCCTGTGACACTGTGAGACCTGTCACAGCACACACCACTGCTACCATTGGCCCTGACTCTTCATGCTGGATGATGGGGCGTAGTGGTTGGCGGCACCTCTACCCAAGGGAGACACTATTCTAGAAACTCCAGGTGTCATTGAGTCCTGATGCCCGTCCCCACCAATGCTGTCAGAGTCATCAGAAACTGAAGACACAGGCTGAGACTTCCATGTAGAAAGGTCCTAAGTGGCAGAGAGTGGCCGAGATCTGTCTGTGGGAGCTTCAGATGCCTTTTGGAGCAATCACGTTCAGTGTCCTGGTACTTCCTCAAAAGGACAGGGGCCAGTGTTCTCTGGTCAGAGCACAGAGCTCTGCAGAGGGACGGGTGGAGCGCAGTCACCATGTGCTCTTGCTCGGCCCACACACTGCCCCCTGCTGGCATTCTGGTATTAAGTGCTCCCGGAGGTGCCTCTTCCCAGCACAGGGCCATGTCCCTGACCTGCTTCCATCTGTGTGACCCCCACCTACCTGGGCTTTGCTGCCTCCTAACAGCTGGACCCTCAGCGTTGAGGGCTCCCCTGGAGCCCACTGCCTGAGCTGGTGCGCTCAGAGCACAAAAATGAGCCCTTGGGCAAGGGAGGTTTTTCCAGGCTCTGCAGGGGATTAAAAAGTGTCCGGTGTGCATGCCCCACTTGAGACTGGGGGGCTCCATGAGGAGAGCTGGGCCTGGATCCTGGCGGAGCTCCCTGCCTCCCTCATGTGACTTCTGGTGGGCTTCTACATGCACACTGAGAACTGTACAGTCTCCGGGCCCTGCTCTCGCGTGGCCCCTGTCCACTGCCCCTGCTCCCCAAAACTGGTGTCTACTGCGGTCCTGTCTCCTGTCCCAGGGCATGAGGAGAAGTCGGAGAGCGCCGTGAGAGCCGGAACCTGCTGTGCCACCTGCAAGGAGTTCCAGCAGATGAAGCAGACGCTGCTTCAGCTCAAGCAGAAGGTAGGTGCAGAGAGCAGTGCCCCAAGGAGCACAGGGCAGCAGTCTGGGGAAGGACGGAAAGGGAGGGAGAGAAGGGTTGCAGGAAAGGGCTGGAAGGGAGGGACCAGTGGAAGGAGGGACCAATGGAGAGAGGGAACAATGAAGGGAGGGACCACTGGAAGGAAGGACCAGAGGAGGGAAAGAGAAATGATTGGAGGAACCAGTGGATGGAGGGACCAACAGAGGGAGGGCCAATGGAGGGAAGGACCAGTGGAGGGAGGGACCAATGAAGGGAGGGACCAGTGGAAGGAGGGACCAATGGAGGGAGGAACCAATGCAAGAAGGGCCAATGGAGGGCAGGACCAATAAAGAGAGGGACCAATGGAGAAAGAGACCAATAGAGGGAGGGACCAGAGAAGGAAGGGACCAATGGAAGGAAGGGCTAATGGTGATTGGGACCAATAGAGAATGGAGGGAGGGGCCAATGGAGGGAAGGACCAATGGAGATCGGGCCTGAGAGGATGCAGTTCAGGAGGGCTTGCAGAAGCCCACCGGAAGTCATCCTCACCCTTGCAGCAGTATATGTGGCTCCATGCACCAGTGACCCCTTGCTGAGGTGGGTGCAGCAAGACTTGCTCGGGTATTCTGTCCACCCTGTCAGGGCTGGCCCTCAGCAGCAGAAGGGAGGGACTGGACAAGTGGCTGGACAGTGGCCTTCGATTGCCAGCAGACCGGCATGTGACTCCCTGAGTCTGATCCCGACAGCACCCATGTCGCCCTGGGTGGTCCCCAGGGCCACCCCAGCCCGCCAAGCACCCCTGGAAGCCCCTCCTTTAGAGTGACAAAGTCCTTCATGATTGCTAAGGCAGCGGGACTTTCCCATCCTGGACACTGTGTACACTGATTTGCCTACCTCCTTCAGGACTTCCCAAACAAGTGGTCCTTTCTGTGGCAGCTTTGTTGCGTGCCTCCGACAGTGGTCAAGCCACAACCAGACTGTCAGGCACACACTGTCAGAATGTGAGTGTTTCACGCTGTTGGGCCACATCAGCGATGCTCAGTTCACAGTTTCCCAGGCCGCAGGTCAGGCAGGTCAGCTGCTTCTCAGAGTCCTGGAAAGGATGCTCAGGACGATGAAAGACAGATGGCAGCGGCACAGGTCTGTCTGACCGCTGCTGCTCACAGCTCCCGGCGCATCAAAGTGGCGTGTCTGATTCATCCCGTCACGGCTAAGGCCAGAGGGTTAACACGAGATTGGTTCTCTCCATTGAGCAAACACACAGCCGCCCCTAATGAGAACCACAGTGGCCGGGTAGCAGTGGCCACTGTGGGCTGCGCTGAGGGGCACTGGGCACTTGGTGGCACTGCGTTAGCTCAAGCAGAGAACATGCCCAGTGCCCAGTCCCAGTTGCGGCCCAGACAGCATGGGGTCCAGCACGGGCAGCACACAGAGACCTGGTCAGCATAACCACATGAAGGAATGAGGAACAGAAGCATTGTCACCCCTGGCTGGGGGTCTGAGTGTCACTGGTCAGTGCGGAGCTGACCCCGAAGGGGTCTGGGGGAAAGCTGGCCCATTTCACAGACCAGGGCACACAGGGGGACCTTGAGGCCCCAAAGCTGCCCCCCTTTCCCCTGTGGGGTCATCAGTCACCCTGAGGTCTGCAGACCATCTCTGGAGCCCAGGAGGGATCTTCTCCCTGCAGCGCTGTGAGTGACACCAAACCCTACCCGAGTGTCAGGTCCCACACCCACTCACATCTTGGCACTGACCCCTCTATGGTCCCGGAGGCAACGGGGCCGAGGTCATGCTACTGTCCCAGGGCTGTGGGCAGAGCGAAGGAGGGTGACAGGACCCTTAGCTCCGGGTTGTGCTGCAGAAAGAAGCTGGTCTTTCAGGTTCCACATCTCTACACACCAGGGAAGGAAGGAGACTCCCTGTCGTGGGAACTTCCCAGGCCAGCCCAGCCTGATGCCCGTTTCTGAGTCTCCCCGGAGTGGGCACTTCCCAGGGCCAGCTCAGCTGGACCCCATATCTCTGCTCCGCTATCTTCCCTATGCTGCTTCCTGCCTTGGTCTGTTGCTGTCCTGAGTTCTGTCCCCGGGCACTTCTTGTTGGGTCCATCTCTGTCCGTCTCTGTGCCATGAGGTGCCTTTGGCATGCCCGCCCATCTCCACTTCCCTGATCAGGGGTCCTCTGTGGCCGGGAGGTGAGGAAGGACCATCAAAGGGGGTCTCCGGAACATGGAGGAGAGCGACATCTCAGAATGGGCCTCCTCGGAAGCATCCAGGCCGGGTACCCTTGGGGGTGGACATCAGCCCCTCTGGAAAGGGACAGTGTCCATGCACCCGCACACACTATTCTCTCCTCCTCCCGGGCGCGATGTGAACAGCAGTGATGGACAGTGTCCATTTCCCACACTCCATGTGCCAGAGTACCGCCTTTGACCTCATGTGACCCCCCACGCCCAAGTCTCCTTTCCCCTACTCGGCTGACCCAGGAACTTGATCCCTCACCCCCTCTTCCAGGACTCCCCCATTTATGCTTACCATCCTCGATAGACTCTAGGGGGCAGAGTCTTCCTGTGAGCACCTGTCTCCTCCCCTGCTGAGCCCAGAGCATCTAGTGGTGCTAACACCATACCCCGGTTCTACATCCCAAGACTACGGGGTCCTGAAGGTCGGGGACTCCCCACTGGGCCGACTCCAGGACAAAGAGGAACAAACACACTGGGAAGCAGCTTGGCCTCTGTGGGTGCTGGAGGTGTTGGGTCTAGAGAGGTACGAGGTGTCCCTAGGCCCACAGAGGCTTTAGACAAGGCTGGCCATGCGGTCAGCGGTGGACAGTTGCCTCGCAGTGGGAGGCCAGAGACCTGTCCCCTGGACAGCGTTAAGCGGGGAGGGGCCTTTGCGAGGACTCGGGTAGAAGGAATGTCCTACTGGCCGCTGCCTGACCCCTGTCCCCTCTCTGCAGATCTCCCTGCTCCCCAACAGCGCCACCGACCTGGGCAAGTACCTCAGTAGAGACAAGGTGCTGGCCTCCAACGCGTACCTGCCGGGACCCCCTGGCCTGCCAGGGGGGCAGGGGCCCCCTGGTGAGTGTGGGCAAAAGGCCAGCTCCTCCAGGGCAGGGTCGGGGCTCATGTTCCCTGGGAGCTGCCCAGGGTGCCCCACTGTGGGGGGACAAGCAGACACCCAAGCAGGGAGCACCCCATGGGTAAGGGGAGGCCTTGCAGGACTGTCGGAGCGGGCAGTCTCCAAACCCATGTGGAAGAAAACAGCTCTACCTGCCCCACGCGCTTCTGGGGAAATGGCTCTACCTGCCCCTGGATGGGGCTGGGGTGGGGTGACAGAGCCCAGCGTGTCACAGCTGTTAGCTCACAACCTGCCCCGTTTCCCATCTGCCTCACCTGTACTCTCCTTCCCCGGTGATCTGTGAGCACATGTAGACTCTCGAGATTTCAGACTTCCCCCTTTTATGACCTGTAGTACAGCAGGGAGGGCACTTGCCTGGCGTGCAGCCGACCCGGGTTCGATCCCTGGCATAACTAACAGTGTGAGGATAACTAACACCTGTCCTCCTCACAGGGCACTAAAGGGAGTGGGAGTCCCTGTCCTCTTCACAGGACACTGACAGGGTGTGGGGCCCCTTGTCCTCCTCACAGGGCACTGATGGGGTGGGGGGCGCCCGTCCTCCTCACAGGGCACTGACGGAGTGGGGGTCCCTCGTTCTTCTCACAGGGCACTGACAGGGTGGGGGGCCCGTTCTCACAGGGCACTGATGGGGTGAGGGGCCTTTTTCTCCTCACAGGGCACTGAGGGTGTGGGGGGTCCCCATACTCCTCAAAGGGCACTGACAGGGTGAGGGACCCTCGTTCTCCTCACAGGGCACTAATGGGGTATGGGGTCCCCATCCTCCTCACAGGACACTGGTGGGGTGTGGGGGCCTTTTTCTCCTCAAGGACACTGATGGGTGAGGGGTCCCGTCCTCCTCACAGGGCACTGAGGGTTGTGCTTTTTTTCAGGCTCTCCGGGACCTAAAGGGAGCCCCGGCTTCCCCGGGATGCCCGGCCCCCCAGGACAGCCAGGTCCCCGCGGCTCTATGGGCCCCATGGGCCCGTCTCCAGACCTGTCCCACATCAAGCAAGGCCGGAGGGGCCCTGTGGTCAGTACGGGGGTGGGTGGGTGGGTGGGGGCCCGGCCCACATCCTCCCATCTAACGGTGCGTCTCTCTGGCAGGGCCCGCCAGGTGCCCCGGGCAGGCACGGTGCCAAGGTGAGTTTGTCCTGGGCCTCACACACACCCCACCATGGGTAGCAAGTGGAGCTGAGCCCAGGCTACTCAGGCCCCTCGTGCCTCGATGCCAGGAGAAAATGGGAAAAAATCCCTTTTCTCCAAGTCACGAGACAACCATAGTGGAGACAGTGACCACTAGTCAGCCACTCCTGAGCTGCTGGCCCCTCGTGGGCCTCCACAGTCCTTCTCAGGCCCACGGCACCCCGTTGCCCATATGTTGAAGCCGTGCAGAGTGTTTGCTGCCCTCCAGTCCCTACATCCTAGCATGCATCCTCCCAAGTGACCACCCTGGCTCCAGCAATGGGCCTTCTCAGCATGGCTGGGGGGGGGGGGGGTGCTTGGGTTCTCTTGGCAGGCTGGCGTCAGGCTTGCCTCAGTTTCCCAGAGAGCACGGAGCCCTCTGGGGAACAGGAGGGGTAGAGTTCAGGAAACTAACCCCCCTCTTCTGTTTCAGGGAGAGCGAGGGGCGCCGGGGCCCAGGGGCTCTCCGGTAAGTAGCACCCCCGGCTCCCGGCGGCACTGTCCCCAGGGCTGTGGCCCAATAGCCCAGCAGTTGGTGACCTTAGCCAAGCTGGCCCCTCATGGCCCTTACGCACCTGGCCATCCACTCTGTGGGGACAAGGCAGGGCCCTGTAGCAGCCGCTTGGAAACTTCTGAAATTTCATTGTCTGCTCTTCCATGATTCTCTTTCCTTGCCACGTCTGAAGACTCAAACCCCAGCCAGCCCAACAGCACCAGGGGTGGCCCAAAACACAAAAAAGGGAAAAGAGTTATTGAAGAGACAAGAAAGAAATTCGGAGCTGAGAGAGGTGGCCGGGGCGTGGGGAATCCTCCCTCCAGGCATGAGTCCTGGACTCTGTTCCCTGAATCGGGAGGCAGAGGAGGGGAGCGGGCAGAGAAGGGGTCTCATGGCATCAGGCCGGGGCACACCCAGGGGCCAGAACCTCCAATGGGGCCGAGCCTAGCACGCTGCCTGGGACCCATGAGGAGGAATGGGAGTTGGGCGGTGGTGTTGGGGTTCCCTGCCCAGAGCAGACGCCCGCGTGGGAAGAGGGTGTGGGCCTGGGTTTCTGTCCCCACTGGGGCACCCCTGAGCAATTCTGACACTGTCCCCTCCATCCTCCCCTGGAATGAATGAGGTGAGTGGCAGGTGCTGCCCCCCGCAGTGCTCCCAGTGCCCCTCTCCATATCCCTGGAGCTGTGGCGAGGGTCATGCAGCTCTAAGTGCAGCACCCCCTCCACCAAAGCCTCCCCCACACACACACACACTCTCCCAGGCTGAGCTCTGGATGCAGTTTCCTTAGCACAGAACATGGTTCTGGGGTCGGCACGTTAAGTCCCTGCCCAGGGCCTGAGCTGTTCACTCTGTGAGCAGCCCCTTCTCCCCTGCACATCCCCCCCCTGCCCATCTCCTGAATAATAGTTCAGGTCATGGAGCGCACCTGCGGGCTTCCAGCCCTTTCCTGGAGTCGGTCAGAGGCACATTAACAGCTGCCTGGGACCAGTTCCATGCGGGGGGCATGCCCACGGCCCCCATCCTTGCAGTCATTCCCATAACCCCCCTTTCAGGAGCATGTGCGGCCCCCGCCGTGCTCACTTTCAGCCTCACCTGTGAGCCTAGGGATGCAGTTTCCTTAGGACAGGGAGCCCTAGTGAGCGGGGGGTCACAGCTGGGGTGACGGCCCCAGAGACACGGGGGCACGTGCCTCCAGCTCGGATGCAGCAGAGCTGAGATTCATGCCCCACGGGGTCCCCCGACCTCTGGGCCCCTCCACCTCTATGCTCACATCCCAGTCTCGGTTATGCACGCGGTGATGTCAGCCGGAGGTGGGGGACCTTGAGGGGCACGGAGCCCGCTGCCAGGGGGGACCCGGCCAGGGCTCTGACCACTCCCCTGTGTGTGCCCAGGGTCCCCCCGGCTCCTTCGACTTTCTGCTTCTCATGCTGGCCGACATCCGCAACGACATCGCTGAGCTGCAGGAGCGCGTGTACGGGCCCCGCGCTCACACGGCCGATGGCTTCCCCGCGCCTCAGGAATTCTCCAGCTACCCCGAAACCCTGGACCTGGGCTCGGGAGATGCCACGTCACCACGGACCGAGGCCGGAGACGTGGGAGCCCCTGGGGACATTTTCCCGTAGCCCCCCTTACCCCCAAAACACATACACATACACACACCCTATGTCTCCAGGCGGAAGGAGAGTAGCTTCCACCTGCTCTTCAGTGGCTTCAGGAAAGAAGATCCGGTCCGCAGGCTGGGAAAGGATACGGCTGTGTTTCCAGAACCTTCTTCTGCCCGCTGCCTTCATCTCTCCTTCCAGACACTCTTTCAGGCTGGACCCCAGATTTCTCCAGCCACAGTGGGAAGCAGGAAGGGGGTGTCCTTGCAAACTGCCACTAAGGCCAGGGGCGTTTCCACATAGCACCCCTGGAGTCCAGGGCCAAGCGTGCTCCTGGGAAGACCCCTCTGGCCGGGGAGGGCTGGCACCACCCCTTGGGCAGCGCCCTCAATCCTTTCCCCCGCCCCAGGCTCCCCTCCCTGGTCTGACAGTGTTGGGGGTCTCTGCTTTGGCATTAAGTCCCACCGATGGCCGTGGTCTCTGCCACACCCCACTGGGAGCTGTTTCCCACGCAGCCATTTCTGGGCAGTGCCCATGTGACTGTTTCCTTTCCACCCCGTCATCACACACTTCATCAGGGGGGTTGTTGAGAGACAACCTACCACCTGGCCTTGTTGGTGTGTGAGGGTCGCTTTGCTGTCTGTAAGCTGGGAAGGGACCAGGTCTGTGTCTCAGGCCAACAGCCTGCCTGCCTGCCGGCCAGCATGTCCAAGAACAGCACAGGTGTCCACTCTTCCTGACGCCTGCCTCACCCCATCTCTCTCCTCCATCTCTCCCGTCTTTCCTGCCCCGCCTCAGTCTCTCAGACCTTCATGCCGGGGGACTCTCCAAGAGACCCCCACCCCCAAACCCAGCCCCGGCTCACGTGGACTAAGATCGCCAAGGCCAGCAGTGGGCGAGGGCAGCAGCTGGTCGCGCCTCGGCCCCAGGAGTGACGGTTAAGTCTGACTTCCGTCCTTTTTCTGAATGAGCAGTTTTATAACCTTCTTAACAGTGGATGGTTTCAAAGTATTATTTTTGTTGTCAGCTGCGCATCAAACATGACCACACGGCACATTTTACTCTAGGAGAGGCAGACGATGGATGAATGTGTAGAAGAAAATGACGTGATGATGGGATTATCAGGGACACGGGTCTGGATTGTGTCCGTCAGCAGAACACTTGGTAACCTGCTTCATAGCATCTCAGCTCGCCACATCCCCGGCAGTTTAGAGGAGGATGAGCCTCTGATTGCGCACACTTCAGCTCAGCCTGGGCTCTGCTCCACTTCACACTGCAGAGACCAGACAGCAGAAGGCACTGTTACGCCTGCTGTAGCTTACGAAAAGGTCCCTGTGCAGACAGGACTTTACAGAACTAAAAGGAAAAGCCACTGGAGGGTTAATCTTTTGCAATTTTGCAGAACCCTTTTATGGTATTGTGGGGACCGACGATCTTGTGTGGCTTCTCCCCTTTTGGCAGAAATGCCAGCTTCAAACCTGCATGGGCAGGTAATGTGGAGCACAGGGCAGGGTTTGATCAGTGCATCTGTTTGGGGAAGAGACAGGAAAGAGAGCCTGCTGCTGAAAAATGAAAATTCCTTCAGGAAATGGTCTTTCCTCCCCCTCCCTGAGGGAGACTTTGATGCCCCGGAAATGGGGGCAACTGAAGGTGTCTCCCCTCTCCCACGTTCATTCCAACCCCTGCCACAGGGAACTGACCGATCGCAGTCATATAGATGCCTACAGGTATAGAGGTATATCCACAGTCAAACACACCTGTTGGCAGGGAGGTGAAGGTGTGTTATGAAGACGCCAGGGATGGGGTCTGTTCCCTGTCTGCTATTGGCCCTGGTGCTTTCTCCCAGACTCGGGGTGACAGCAAAACCCCCATTATACTCGGGAATCGCTCCTTCTCCTCCTCTCCCAGCACCCCGACACCTGTCATAGAGATAGCACCCCCATTGTGCAAACACCTTTGATAAGCCCCCTGCCGAGGAAATGTATCTGCAGATCAAACAGGCAAATAGAGGAAAGCAATTAAGTTATAAATAATGAAGTCAGAGACATCGGTGGCATTTTCCCTGGTGCTGTCAGCAAACAGGATTCACAACAAATCAAAATGGAACTTAGGGGGTGTCAGAGAGATAGGAGAGTGAGTGGGCAAGGCACTTGCCTTATGAGAATAGCCAACCTGGGATCGATCCCTGGCATCCCATATGATCCCTCGAGCACTACCAGGAGTGGTTCCTGAGTGCAAAGCCAGGAGTAACCCCTGAGCATCACTGGATGTGGCCCCCAAAATAGAACTAAACAAAAAAATAGAACATCCCACCTGGAAGAAGGAAAAAAAAACATGTCTGTCTCGATTCCAATGTAACATCTTGGTCTTCTCATGCTCGTCCCTCAAATGTCAGTGACGCTCTCACACCTGCCCCAGGAACCTCCACATTCCCGACCAGACCCACCCCCAACCTCCCCTCAGGATTGTTCATTCGTGGCAGGTCCAAGTGCAGGAGAGTGCATCTCCATTGTGATGGTGACGCTCCGAAGGGCAGGATGAGACATCCGTGCTTAATAACAAAGTTATTTTTCTTATGTGGCTCTACTGTGCTTTGTGCTCTGGAGCAAGTTGGGGGACCCAGTCAAGCAGATGGGGAGAGAGCTTTTTCCGGCGGTCAGGAACTGTGCACCCCGGGGGTGGCCGACTGTGCACCCCAACACCTAAGTCTGATATCGAGTGTTGAGGTCTCAGTTCCACCATACCTGAGTCTTCGAGGCCCCGGCTGGGGGTCAAGGGGATGGCCTCTGGGGTAACCCCAAAGGGGGGTTTCCCAACTAAGCTCCTCCTAATCTGAGTGTCTGTGCCACAACCCAGACTGCCTGTTTTCAAATTGCACGTCTGGATTCCTTGGGCAGGGTTGTGGGGGGCGGGGAGGGGAGAAGCAGATGAAAGTAAATGGGGTGAGGGTAGGGGGTGTTGGCAGCCACTCCACGGGGAGCTGGGGTCTCCTCTAAGGATGAGAACAGCCCTGCTGAGGGCAGAGTCTGAGGCGAAGGGGGAAGGTAACTTCTGACCTGGGCTTTGAGTCCCTGACCTTCGAGATTCAAGCCTGACCCTGGCTGAGCACAGCAGCCAGGCTGTTTGCTCAGTGCGCGCGTGAGCTGGAATCAGAGCGGCCCCATCCCAGCTCCTGGGGCTCGGGTCCTCCCTGACAAAAGTAAAGGAATCCCTCACACCGGCCTTAAACACTGCCGTAAGCAGGGGTCTGGGGAGATGATACGGCAGGCGCTGGCCTTGCACATGGTCCTAGCTGGGTTTGGTCCCCTGAACTGGCCAGAAGTTATTCCTGCGTGCCGAGCCAGGAGTCAGGCCTGAGCATCACCAGGTCTGGCCTAAGCCCCTCCCCATCAGAAAAATAAACACCATAAGCTGAGGAAAAGTAACTTGAGAGCCAGTTACAGCTGCGACATTGTGAACAGTGCTTTGCCATTGCCCCCTGCCCCAGTGTAGTACACACACACACACACACACACACATGCACACATACACACACGCACACACACAAAGATGCACACACACATGCACACATACATGCACACACGCATATACACATGCACATATACACACATAACACAGCGCAGCCACACAGACCCTGAGCTCTTACAGAGGAGATTATGGCCCCTCATTCAGGCCCACGATGGCATTCTGGGGACCCTCTCGGAACATTTCCAGCCCCCTAAGTCACCAAAGAACAGCTGCACCAAAAGTGGGGTGCCACTCCTCGTGGGCACAGGTGTCTGGTGACCTCCTGTGCCTGGGGCAGGACTCTCCACAGAATTCTACATCAAGGAAAGGAGTCGAGAATGGCCTTCCCCGCCACCAGGCAGACCGGATGTCGATGCACGCAGGGACACAGTTTCTGTGAGTCTCAGCAGGGTGCTCCTCACCCTTGTTCTGCGTCTGCTTGGTCCTCTCATTCGGGGGACTGAAGTTCCACTCAGTTGTCACGCGGGACCAGCTGGGACTGGATCGTCCCACCAGGAATTCAGTCTCTTGCTGTCCCTCCCCTCACAGCCCACCTTACATTGCTGATGCAGTGACATGGTTAGAGTATATCCCAGGAAATATTATTATTATTATTATTATTATTATTATTATTATTATTGGAGTGGGGAGGTTGGGTTGCCCCTGGCAGTGCTCAGGGATCACTCCTGGTATTGCCTGGAGGCCCATCTGTGGTGCTGGTGGGTGGAACCCAGGGTAGCCGCATGCCAGGCAAGTGCCTGACCCACTGCATTTCCTCTCTGACCTATCCCAGGAGCATTTTAAGTGCAAAGCTCACATCTGAGCTTGTTCACGGATGACAAGTTCAGTGATGCATCTCCACTCGGGACTGGCCTCCCAGGAAGGGGCTGGGACTTGAAGCACCAAGGTGTTAGATTCTGAGCAACATGGCTTGGTCCCTAGTGTGCCCTGGCCAGCAGCTGGGGTGACCACCATCGTCTTGGTCATGTCACTCCCCGGCTGTGTGTCGAATCACAGCAACTTCCCCTTTCCCGAGAGTCACAGGATATGACTCTTGCAGCCTCAGAAGTCCCCAAAGCAAGATTCATGAATAATAAAAAGAAGTCACCATTTAGGAGGACAGGGCTGTGGACTGTGGTTGAGCAGTTGCCTTGAAAGAGCCCCAGCACTGCAAAATAAACTATTTGGAACTTATTACCCAAGAGATCATGTGATTTCTTGCAGTTGGCAAATCTAATTAAAAATGAGAAAAGAAAGTCGAGGGCAGCCTATCAGCAGGCTATCAACTGGACAGAACAACTCAGGCAGGTCCTCTGGGGTGGTTCTGAGAAGCCAGAAGTAGGGTAAGCGGGTCCTGGGCTCTGAATATTAGACTCAGTGTTTCCTCCCCGTGACAAATCAACTGGGGTTTGCCCTGCTCTTGACCATTTGAAAATAAAGACTACGTTTCCCAGCATCCCTTGCACCAGAGCGGTCATGTGATTAGGCGCCCGCCAATGAATGTCAACCCTAATTTGTATGTGCTACTGAGAACTCAAGCAGCATCTTAGAGCCTGAATTGGCCCGCTAAGGATGGTAAAGCAGAAAAAAACTAGTGAGCCTTTCGTTACACTTAGCTGTCTACTTAGATGTAAAGAAGGATGAATGGATAAATTCCCATCTCTCTGAACCATTGAAAAACCTTTTTTTTTTTATTTCTCTTATATGCAGCCAAATGATCTGAACTGATTGATTGCAACCCTTTAAGGGACCCTTCCACATCCAACCTCCCAAGGCAGCAAGTTCCAGGGCACACTCGGCCCCAGAGTTGGGGACACAACCTCTGAAGAGACAGGGTGGTTCTAGCCATCTGCCTTCAGTTGTGGTGTCACTTGGAGCAGCTGCTGGCTCTCAGACTTGCGGTTCCTCCCATCCAAAGTCTAGTCCCAGTGGGGAGATGCTTCCATACTGGCTTGTCTGTGTTTGCAAGTATGTCTGGGAATGTGCTTGCTCCTGCCCATCGTTTGTCAATAATGACTCCTGCGCTTGTCAGTTCCGCTCGGGGCATCCAGAGAGACTGCACACACC